CTGCCATAAGGCGAGTACCATTTTCAAACTAACTCTATCCTCCAGTTTGCGCAGCAACACCATTGTTTCTTGTTAGTATCGGATCCAGGAGATTCTCTGCTTTTAAATTATCATGTATGTAGTTGAAGGATTTTGCTTAATTCAAGAGATATAACTGATTTTCTAGACATATGATCTCTGTGGTGTGATCAATGGTATAGTTCTATAGGAATATCACGAGTACCATTTTCAAACTACTTGACTCCTTAGGTTTGCACAGCAACACTATTGTTTCTTGCTGATATCGGATTCAGGAGATTCTCACCTTTCAGACTATCAAATATGTTGTCGGGAGAATTTGCTTACAACTAGTATGTAAACAGGTTAGTTGATGGCAACACTCTTTATTCACCTATTTTTTGAGTAGCTCGTCCGGAATTAATAGGGTTTTCATTCGTTTTTACACGGTTTTCATTCTTTTCCTTGCTGTTATAATCGCTCTTATAGCTTTTATCACCAAAAGCGTTCTCTTCTGCTATTTTCTCATTCATTTCTTACAACAGTCAGAGTCAAATTCTCATTCTATCAAACACACTCTATAATTTATCAATTGACTGTCGAACGTTGTTGAGCAATTCAGTTCGATTGCTGTATTGTTGATTTCGGATGTCAACAACAGTCATTGAATAGTATGTGCTACAGAATGAGAAGTTGTGAAATGAAGTGAGGCGAAGGGAATGAGAAAAACTCATCAAGTGAACAATATTCGCATGTGATAGCTATGAGAGTGAACACAACACGTCTGAAAAGAATGAGAATCCATCCAAATCAGTTAGAAGTGAACGTGTCATAGACAATAGCTTTTCATGCAATCATGATCAACTGCAATAATGAGCAACACAACGGTCTATGACAGTGATTCTCACATGAAGTGTAATTCCCCATTTTTGGTAATTTAGAGGTATCAAGAGGTAATCGAGGGAATCGGGAAATTAGTATTTCGTGTAATTGTTAGTTATGATAGAACGCCACTGTGATGGTGTATTTCTCACCTGTGAACAACTTCTGGATAATGAAGCAAATTTATGCATGAGAATATCATGAAGCATGAATTCTTTGTGCGCATAAAAAACTTTGAATGATTATTTTAGAATGGAATTTCATATACAGTTTCAATGCAAACATGTTACAACTATGAATTATTGTCTTCCCATCGTGAGTGACATACAAAATTTGGTCAGCATGAGATTGGGGACTGCCATACAAATTAGACGTCGAACACTTTTAGGAATAAAGGATGTTCCTGGATGATATTCTTTTGCTATGGTGCCGCATCACTGATTCGACCATTGCGGTGAACGCTTCTCAATGAAAGCTTGCATACCTTCTTTTATATCGTTCTGAAATTAACCTGGTCGATGAAATTAATCTTCTCTGCTTGCGATAATCTGACCAAGCATCTAGATCATGAACTGCGTCATGTAGATGGTGAAACTTTTTTGTCACTAAATCTCTTGAATTTAGCTCCCAATGTATCCATATAAACATACTTACAAGGGAAGGCCACGAACTGAACCCAGTGTTTCGGGATGAGATATACATGAAATTGTAGAACTCTTCGAGCTGATTACGAATATGTAAAAAAATTTTGCGAAATACTAAGGGGACGCGAGATATGGCGGAGTGCGTGAAAGTGTGCTCATTATAAAGTCGCAAAATCAGTCACTTGCCAAAATAGGAGCACTAAGTTCGAGGTGATACTCATCTTGCTAATAATGATAGAAATAATAATGAAAGACAATAAATAGTAACTGTAGCAAATGTTGAATGGAAGAGTTTTCGTTCAGTGGCAAGTCCTTGTTGTAGAGTTGTTTCATAGGCATTATTTACAGATTCTTTTACTATTGCGCTTATCAGTGAGGAATTTCTCGCAATTTTTTCTGCCAATTTGATTGTTTCGTCGAGCAGCACTTCGCCTGGGAACACCTTAAAGCCACTTTCATTACCGTTTATCCACACTATTGTTCTCAAGCACAATCGCTAGTACTGCTAATATCACCACTGGTGTCTTATCATTTGTGTTATCATTTTCCGTTATCATTTCTCACCGTTTACGATTATCCTTATTGTTGATACTGTTTATTATCAGTGTTACTGTATGCATACAAAGTCAATACGAGTCACTCACACCGTGATCTTAACCGAACAATATAGCTTTTGAGAAAGTTGTTTTCGAGTGTTTAGTCTCTTACAGTTCAATGATAGTTTGATCTTCTTGTTGTTAGATCAGATGATCTGTTTTGGTCATTTCAATAACAAACACTGACAATGTTATTGTGCAATCGACGATAACGTGGTGACGAAAGCGAAGAAAACAAGTGATAATTGCTGAATACAAACCTTTGATACGATTCCACAATCTTTGGCCTCAGTTGCGGACATTTTATCGCCCGTAAGGCACATTTCCATCGCTAACGATTTGCCGGCTATCCTTGTTAAGCGTTGGGTGCCACCAGCTCCTAAACAATATCAATCGCATTGAAGTGCTAGCAATATCAATACAATAACAGAATCGGTATGATAATACAATGCTTCAAATTAAATCAATGATCTGATGAAATCGTGATATATGATCTATAATCTGTACGATGAAGAACTCATGAAAATCTAATCTATACATGATAATCTATTGGAATTACTAGCAAATAAACAGCAGAATAATAATAGAGATGACCGAGGTAATCCTAGTAATAGTATTAATGACAACATCGAGAACATGTAACCAAAGTAATAAAACCACATACCCGGTATGGTACCAATCGTGATTTCAGGTTGTGCAAATAG